TTCACTGAGTTACGCAAGCCCCTTCGCCACGACAAGGCAGTGATCCATGAAGGGGGCTGTATTAATTACATGTCTGTCTTTTTGTATTTGTCTGCTTCTTGTTGTTTGCTGGCCTTTGGCCATAATAAAGTTTTTTTATATATGTATTTGATTTGATTTTCAGCAACAAACTTTTTTTCCCCAGATTCTTTTGTGTGTGAATTTTGGACTGGAGAAAAAAAGAACACAAGCAGAATTAGTTTGATGCTGTCATGCAGGTTACTGGGAAGACAATGCCCAATCTATCCCTTGTTTTTTGCAGCCCCTATGGTTCCTCCCCTTCCCAAATATAGGATCAGAGACAATGGTAGCATGTACTTCCTCCCTCTTTCTTCTTTTTCCTGAGATCAAGAATGTTTAACGGCAGCATCCCAGATGAAATGAGCCCCGGAAAACATCTGGGACTCCTGAGTATTTAGAGTAATATAATTGTAAGCTACTCAGAGTTAACAGGAGTTCGATAGCCTTTAAACTGCTTGCCTGCTTGTTTGCTCACTCACTCACTCACTCATTCACTCACTCATTCATTCACTTATACATTTTGCCTTCAAGTCAGTGTTGATTCCTGGCAACTGCCTGGACTAGTCCCTGCAGTTTTCTTGGCAAGATTTCAGTTGTTTGCCCCTGCCTTCTTCTTCCTCTGGCTGAAAGGTCACCCAGCTGGCTTTGTGACTATGGCAGAACTACAACTTGTGGTCTCCTAGTTTCTAGCTTGGTGCCTTAACCACTAGACCAAACTGGCTCTCCAATATTGCATACATTAAATTAAATTAAAATTAAATTATTACTGGTGAAGTCTTCCCTTTGAGTGTAGCTTCTGATGACTTCATGGACATGCTGTATGGTTTTCTTGGTAATTATATAGAATTGGTTGGCCATTACCTTCTTTTGGTATTTTTTTAAAAACTTCCAAATCTGGTTTCCAACCTAGGATTTTCTAGTGGCTTCCTATCCACATACTAAGCAGGTCCAATCTTCTTATCCAAAAAGTGAACAAAAATCAAAGAAAGCAGAAAGAAAACCTTGTCTTACCCCTTGCCTCATTTAAATTTTTCTAGCTGGATCATTGCCATAGTTGTGCTGTTGTTTTCCAAAAAGACAGAGGTGAAAATTCTAGCTCAGTCAAGCCATTGATCCAAACCAGTTTCTCGGAACTTTTCTCTAGGGCGTGTTATCCTCCTTCCCAAGTGACATAATATAAGCAGGGGCTACCAGGCTTTAAAAAGTGGCATTTGTATAATGCAGCCTCTGGATAATTATGTGTAACAGATTCTCTACTCTGAATGGGGGGGGGGGAATCACACTGGGGAAGAATTTGCTTCTAATTTAGAGAGCTTGATGACAAACACAATATATATGCTTGTGTTGGAAATGTCACGCACATCAACATGGCATATTGTGGTGTGACATGTGCAGCCGGATGTGAGTATTTAGAAGAGATTGGGGAAAAAATATCCGGCCTTTGTCTGTGATTAAACCAAACTATGGCTGGCATGTGTGTGTGAAGGAGAATGTAATCAAAGAGAGCATCAATTGGATTGCTGAATTAACCATGGAAATTCAGGTTAGCCACCAACAGCTTACAAAATTGGCAACAGAAGAAAGCACTCTTCACAAATCTGATAAAGTTTATTCTGTGGCAGCCTAGAGTTCAGACTATGGAGGTGAATTGACTCACATCATGCTGCTAAGAAAATACATTTTCTTTACTGAAGCTTCATTTCTAAGGATCAGCAATGTTTTCTGGCACCAGGCTTAAAACAAACAAACAAATGAAGCCACTTCTTATCAAAACTTGCAAGAATTCAGCATTCTTACTGGAAGCCCTGCAAAAATGTTGTGAGATATGCAAAAACAACCCAATCTCATGACATGTGCCTCTCCTGTGAAATCTGGACTATTTTGTGGATTCAGTGGGGACCATCTGGAAGTGTTGCAGGTCCTTGGTACCTATCGCCCACCCCTGTGCCACAAGACCTTTTGGTTTGGTTTGGTTTTGCTTTAACCAATTAACTTGGTTGCCTCCTTGCAACAGATTGCCATTGTATGGCATGTAATGATGGCTGCGCAGACTCACTACTGCTCACGGTAGTAAAAAAGAGGCATTTTTCACCCATTATCACATATTTTCATATTTTGATATTTAATACTTCTTGCATTTTATTATTCTCTCTGTCTCTTTTTAAAGTATATACAAACACACATACCCACAGATATATAGAAAGTCTTGTGTACATAAATATATGCACACAGGTATTCAGGTATTTTCATACCATGCCTGGTGTTGTCTTTTTCATTCTTGACTATAGGCATCTCTTGTCCTGAATGACAGTTCATAAACAATGTAATAAAGAAAGAAACAAGCTAATCATATCCATGCTGTCATTTATGCATTACAAGCATCTGCAGTTTGTTACTGACAATCATGTTCATTAGTAGGGCATTCTGGGAGAAATTATTTCCCCCCACAATGCACTGGGCTGCGGCTTTTTGAGGAAATAGCACAATACCTTCTAGGAAGAGCTCCTAACTCAGCTCCTCCATCACAGAGGAAAAGATGATTTCCCATCCACCCCTAGGAATGAGTAAAGAATGAGCTTGAATCTGAGTAACAAACCACATATGGTTTCATAGCCATTCATTACTCATGGTGTTCATTTTGGAACAAATGAAAATTGTACCAAATGGGCTCCATCTGGTCCAATTTTTCATTTGTTCCAAAAGAAACACAAGTCCCTTAGTGAAGCTGGGAGAGGGCAAAAAACGGTGCTGCTGAATTGTTTCTCTTTGTTGTAATGACAGTATATTGGGCTCAACGTGGTTATTTATAGCTCTTCTGTTTTACTGCTATTTTATGGCGATGGATTCCCACTGCTGTCTTTTATGATGGTTGGCTTTTTTTTTTTTAGCAAATGATGTGATTTTATATTTTACGCTTATATGACATGAACCACTTGTGAGGATCAGCTTCAAAGCTGATATCAAAATACCACAAATAAAAATATACAAGAGGGAGGGGCAAGATTCCTAATAAAATGCTGTTTGAATTAAAATCACACCCCTCCCCCAATTAACTGTTGCAGTGATTTTTTTAAAAAAGCACAAAATCATGGTGGATCCGTGGACCGAGTTCTCAAGTGGAGGAGGTTCTTCTTTGTTTCCCCTAAGTGGGGCACTTCCTAGACCTCTCCAATGAAGTCACCTAATTTGTAAGGGAGAGGATATGAAGAAAGTTTCCAGAATGTGCTTTCAAAGATTCTGGATGAGCAGATTTGTATTTCTCTTGCGTCCATTTAACATGATCAGTATCAGTTGTACCCCAACTAATTACTGGGCATAAATGGTAGCGGCAAACAAAATGCCATGAATGAAATCCCAAGTCAATAATGTCTTAAGAAATTAGGTCCATTACTTCACAAATCCTTTTGACCCGTTTTTTTGCTTCACTGTATGCCAATTGATTGTCAGCGAGAAAGGTAGCCAGTTTAGAACTGACAGCAAAGTGAAGTTGAGAATTAATCACAAAAACATTTTTAGAAGATCCCACTTTCTCCTCCCTGAGGTAAATACAACTGAAGTAGAACAAGATTCTAAAGGCTAAAATCCTGAAATTCATAAATACTGATTTCACAGCATGACCAGAAATGAGAAAATGAAAGCAAAAACAGATAAATAATAAAAAATAAAAAATAGTGTCATCGTAATTGAACTTGGGGGTAAGCAGCAGAAGCAGCAGAAGCATGATGTTGGCCTATGAATGTGCATGAAGTGCATCTTCTTCTCTTAGACTTGACCACTGAGCTAGAGAGATTTAAGGAGAAGAAAAAGGATATGTCAGATGAAAAAACAAAACACTGATGCATAGGAATCTTAAATAAAAATGACTAAACAAGCCCCTGACCTAAATAAAAAATTATACAGAAATGGGGTTAATTAGCACAGAATGTTCAGTATCAGTATATATTTTGCAAATGTGCAGTCCTTGGGGTTCTCTGAGCTTGGTTCTTTTCTTGCAAACGTTTCATTACCCA